ACACATTTTCAGCTTTCAGTGCAGTGCGAGGACGACCAACGGGGCCTTTGTGGGCAGATTGAGATTGTGTATGATGATATGTCATACTTCATCTATCTCCAACCTCAGCCTGAGCCAGATATTGATGAAGAAGGCATTGTAATCAACATGGAAGAAGATTCAGGCCAGAAATTGGATTAATGTGCAATTGATATCAACTGTAGCATGAGAATGATCAGGGGAGTAAAAGCATGAAGGACTTTTCACACTATACTGAACTTTCCTTTCAGCGTCATTTCACATGTCATTTGAAAGGTTTAGCTGATCCATGTTCAGTAGTGTTGACAGAAAATATCATAAGGCACTTTTATGTACAAATTGGAAATGAAGGAGTTTTTGTTTGAATTTTGAAGAACGGCACATGTGTAGATTATGTTGTTCAGTTGCCAAACTCTCTAACTTAATATGAGTAAAATATATTTTCATGTATGATGAGGTGTCAAACCCACCCAATAAAATACTCTTTCTCCCTAAAACACTATGTGTATATATAATTGTGTCCCTGTTGTATTGCAAAACACTTGTGCTGCGGACCTGTGGTTGAGGGGATACAGGTAAGGTTATAGAGACAGGTTTGGCTATCTGTTATGGGTTAAGTTCTAAGGGAAGGGTCATCAGTGTAATTATAAAATAATTACATGCAGGTGTTTTTGAAATATGCTAAAAATAAAGTAAAAATGTTTGACCTTCTCCTGAAGATTGACAGTTTCCATTTTCTTTGTTTAAATACAATAAATCATTTTACTTTTGCAACAAGTGTTGGATCACATTTCTGGGGCAGAGGACTGAAGTAACACAGTCTCATCCCAAAAAGTCATATAACTGACGTCTTGGGGCGTATTTTGACCATACGTCAATATCTGCCTTTTTAGGGCCCCCTTAAACGTCGGTAGATGGCGATCCCGGGCCGTCATACAACTGACGCTTTACCTTTAACGTCAGTTAGGTGACGGGTTAGGTTTAGGTCTGGGGTAGAGTTAGGATCCCATAACCTCATCTACCGACGTTTAAGGGGGCCCTAAAAAGGCGAATATTGACGTATGGTCAAAAGATGTCCCAAAACGTCAGTTATATGACGTCTTGGGATGAGACCGGGTTGACTGAAGCGAACCCGCCACGCTTACGTTTACGCTGTTTTGGTTTTTTTTAGTTATTTAAGTTTGTTACCCTCTCCCAACCCTAGACTGGGAGTAGGTCGTATTCGTATCCAGTGTTGTGCAAGTTACTTCCAAACTGTAATACATTAGGTATTACTTGTTACTGTTATTTAAAAGTAATTCATTACCTTACAATATTACTGTCCCAGAATTGTAATGCGTAACATTACTCATGTATTACTTTTGAGTTACTTTCACCAAAATAACTAAGTAGAACTTAACTTTTGGGCTGTAACGATATGCAATATGAAACCGAAATCGCGATTCGCCACACGACTCAGATCCACGAACCTACAGAATCGCGACACACCTCTTCCAACTCCAGCGTTATTCTCCTTACCGTCCAGATCCAATGCTGCCTTATCTTTAAATTAGGCTATTAGTATTATTTGAAGTTAACATTATAAAATACGTAGACCTACACCACAAAACTAGTTGAGGATAAATTATTTAAAATTGGGAAAGTCCAGCATTATGGACATGATGAAATTTGCAGTCAAAACTTGAAATAAAAATTCTCAGAAAATACATGTATTGAAACGTATATAGGCTACTTCCTTAAAGGACTCCAGACATTAGACAAATATCAGTCTATGTTTTATTTTTAATATTAGGGAAAAGACACACATTCATGCGTGACAAAAAAATAGGAGGCAAAATATATTTTTTGTAATTCTGTTAATTACACTGCGCAAATCGGATCAGGAAGGGTTGGCTCTCCAGTCTCCATAGAACTTAAAATATTCATTTTATTTTAGTTTTCGTGTTCGCATTTATGAGGAAAAAACAATGTTACAGACGCGACCGCTCTGAACTGGCACTAAAAGACTGCTTTAAAACTTTCACACAGTCTGTTGCCTTTATGAAGTAAAAGCAGACAATACACTGTAATACAACTGTAATACAAGCCTCACTAAACATGTAACGAGTAAAATATTACTGAAAATTGATTAGTAATGCCTTACACTACTGCGTTACAGCAAAAAGTAATATGTTACTGTAATGTATTACTTTTGTAATGCGTTACTCCCAACACTGTTCGTATCAATATATGTGTTTAGACCATTTTGCAAGATGTAAACAACACTGGTCCAGAAGCACTTCCTGTTTCAGTTTTAACACTACATAAAAGCTGGGACAAAATACAACCAACAGAACATATAAAACTGAATCAAAAAGTTAAACAAACATCTTTAAGATATTTTCTTTACATGTGAAATAAAGAAAACAGTTACAAACTGAAACAGGAAGTGTTTCTGGACCAGTGTTGTTTACATCTTGCAAAATGGCTTCCCTTCCTTCCATATACAGGGAACTCTTTCCCAGTGGTCCTGTAGGAACAGCAGTGACTCCCTGGCCTAAAGCCCTGTCCCTTCTCCTCCTTAAATCGGGTGGCTTCTGTCTAGACACTGGAAGGTGGCAGCACTAGTGCCGATTTCTATAGATCCCCATTCAGTCGACTTTGACCATGTCTGACGTTCTCGACTGAAAGGGAACACCCTGATATTCAAGTCACAAGGACGTAGCCCCCTCGCCACTACTGCTGGACCACCGTTGACTCCGGGGGGGCGCTCGGAGAATACAATGCTGAACCATAATGACATATTACTTAACAATTGGTTAATAATCATGTGCCCCAACAAGTAAAGTCATAACATAATGATACCTTTGCAAATCATTAGCTAATGATTTGTGCACGTTTTTATTTGGGCTCTCACTCGTTCAAATCACTAATTTTAGCATAGAGATTTTAGATAAGGTATTTGGCTTCAGGAACTCCCCTAATCTACTCCAGTAAAGAAAAATCTGAAAGATGACCCACCCACATTTTTTATTTTTATTTTTTTGCTTTCAACGCCCATGCTAATTACTGATAAAATCATCAGCATCCTGTGTTTTTGCAAGCTTGTATTAGTTTCATTTATAGCTAGATAACCACCACAGAAGCTGTTCATGGACCAGTCAATCATTTATTTTTTCACAATGTTCACATTTGTCACGGAGATCTTGAGACCAAACATTTGGAAGAACAAGAAGATCCTAGAAGACCAACTAAAGGATTGGAAGACTCTTCCCTCATCGAGTTCACGAAGAAAAGACATGAAAACAGCAGCAAACTGTGGTTGGAGTGGAAGTGATAGACACAGAAGACGGGTCACAGATAAGCTTATTTCAATTAAACTTTTTGCTTGATCAGCTTTTTATGGTTTACTTATAATGCCTGTAATAGGCATGTAATAAATGTGTAGTTGCTCTATTACACAATGTAATTTGTTTCAATAAAAGTTTGTTGCTCCTAGTGATTATATCCAGGAACAAATGTCACATATATTTATTATATAGTTAAACGATGTGTGTAATTTAAAAAGGTCGAGTACTCATAATTACATTTTTAAATTTGCTATAGTCATATACTTTTATTCGTATAGACTTGCTAGTCTTTGGAGGACCTTTGGAGGCGCACTTTCTTTATGTCTTTTGTTGAGCAGCGCCGTTATTATGGTATGTGAGTTTATATTTCCATCAAACCTATTTTATCATTGCATTATTACTAATAAAGCAGATATCGATAATATTGAGTAAACACGGAAGCATTTATTGTATGTGACATAGACAGCATTGCTACATTTAGGTGACTGCAAAAAAAAATCAGGCTATTGCTAAACTGTTAGCCTTGCGGCTTTGTAAAATGCTGCATGTTGCGTGTGGTTATGTATTTAGATTCTAAAAACTGGCAAAACATTTTTTATTTAGTTGCATTTTTTGATGGCTTTTTTATCGTTTCATTGACACTTGTTCATGAAGATAATTAAACTGCTTGGATTCCTTAAATCGAGTCCTAGTGAGGCCTTTTTAATATTACACTATTGAGATTATATTTTTGAATCTTATTTCATAGCTTACTTGATATGTTTGATACCTGCAGTATCAAACATACTTTATGTAAAACTTGTGGTGTAATGGTTTAATTTTGGAAACCGAACGTTGGAAACCCAAAAGGCCCGATCCTTATCGCAATTGCATATGATAAATTTAACATTTCATGACTAATTACTTGAGGAACTGCGGTTTTCAAGTCTTAAAATTCACACACTGGACTACATCATCTCTGCTGTCTTCACATTTGTTTTCAGGGATCAAAATGCTGCCATCCCCTTCAATCCACAGAGCATCAAATAAAGGTATTTGTCCTTTAACAGTATGTGACCGTTTTGTGAAATGGTTTATAGTATCATATTTTCAAAATGGCTGAAATAATATATATATATATATATAGTTATGGCATTGTGCTATCCCTAATGATCAACTCACAATTAAATCATTATTTTTGTCACATTGCATTATGTTTAGGCCTGGTTTCACAGCAGGATTTAGATTAAACCAGGATTATTCTTATTAGCGCATTTAAGTTGCTTTTAAATAAAAAACATCACTTGTGTGTATTACAAATCATTTAAAACAGTTTTAACATGTAATTTAGTCTGAGACTAGACATAAGCCTCTGTGAAAGCGGGGGTAAATGTTTTAAGTCTTTTCAAAGCCTTTCTTTATTCATGACATGCCCTCATGACATTAACAAATAAAACTGTATATTTAGACCCCTGTCCAGTGTGTGGAAAACCCTGAAGGACTGGGTGGAGTGATAATACATGATCAAGAGACATTCACCATTAACAAGCCACACTTGGTAGGCTAACATGCTGTACTGTTTTCCCTCTTAATAGTGAATGACTCGCGACTTATTAAAAGACTTGTTTTGTTTTCTGCAGGTGGCAGTTCCTGATAGCGCCGTTATTATGGTATGTGAGTTTATATTTCCATCAAACCTATTTTATCATTGCATTATTACTAATAAAGCAGATATCGATAATATTGAGTAAACACGGAAGCATTTATTGTATGTGACATAGACAGCATTGCTACATTTAGGTGACTGCAAAAAAAAATCAGGCTATTGCTAAACTGTTAGCCTTGCGGCTTTGTAAAATGCTGCATGTTGCGTGTGGTTATGTATTTAGATTCTAAAAACTGGCAAAACATTTTTTATTTAGTTGCATTTTTTGATGGCTTTTTTATCGTTTCATTGACACTTGTTCATGAAGATAATTAAACTGCTTGGATTCCTTAAATCGAGTCCTAGTGAGGCCTTTTTAATATTACACTATTGAGATTATATTTTTGAATCTTATTTCATAGCTTACTTGATATGTTTGATACCTGCAGTATCAAACATACTTTATGTAAAACTTGTGGTGTAATGGTTTAATTTTGGAAACCGAACGTTGGAAACCCAAAAGGCCCGATCCTTATCGCAATTGCATATGATAAATTTAACATTTCATGACTAATTACTTGAGGAACTGCGGTTTTCAAGTCTTAAAATTCACACACTGGACTACATCATCTCTGCTGTCTTCACATTTGTTTTCAGGGATCAAAATGCTGCCATCCCCTTCAATCCACAGAGCATCAAATAAAGGTATTTGTCCTTTAACAGTATGTGACCGTTTTGTGAAATGGTTTATAGTATCATATTTTCAAAATGGCTGAAATAATATATATATATATATATAGTTATGGCATTGTGCTATCCCTAATGATCAACTCACAATTAAATCATTATTTTTGTCACATTGCATTATGTTTAGGCCTGGTTTCACAGCAGGATTTAGATTAAACCAGGATTATTCTTATTAGCGCATTTAAGTTGCTTTTAAATAAAAAACATCACTTGTGTGTATTACAAATCATTTAAAACAGTTTTAACATGTAATTTAGTCTGAGACTAGACATAAGCCTCTGTGAAAGCGGGGGTAAATGTTTTAAGTCTTTTCAAAGCCTTTCTTTATTCATGACATGCCCTCATGACATTAACAAATAAAACTGTATATTTAGACCCCTGTCCAGTGTGTGGAAAACCCTGAAGGACTGGGTGGAGTGATAATACATGATCAAGAGACATTCACCATTAACAAGCCACACTTGGTAGGCTAACATGCTGTACTGTTTTCCCTCTTAATAGTGAATGACTCGCGACTTATTAAAAGACTTGTTTTGTTTTCTGCAGGTGGCAGTTCCTGATAGAGCCTTGATTAGGGTAGATATTAGATATATCCTTTGCATGTACTATATAGAATTGTTTTTGCAGTTTTCAATGGGCTCTATGCACGGCGGTATTTCCGGTGAAGGTGTAAGGATGTTCGATATTAACTTCCGCCGATCGTAGAGTCCAATGCAATACCGAGAATTTATATTGAATTTTATACTCCATGGTTATACTAAAGAAACGTTAGTCACAAACACAGACAAAACAGACATCCCTCGTTGTGTTTATGCTTCTTTTTAAAATTATATTAAATAAACATAACTATATATAAAATCACATCTAAATGTATGAACGTTTCGTTTCAAAGACGGGAGGACAGTAAATTTAGAAGACTCTGCCATAATCCCGTTTCATCTCCCCAACCGGAAACTGACGAGCATCCTTGCGTCAAATGCGGAATTTATGCGTGCATATAGCCCATAGCAATGCTAAATGTTGTTGCTATTTATGTCTTGTAATCATATAGTACAACTTTACTAGTAAAGAAAATCTTCTCTTAGGGGGGAAAGCTCTGTGAGACCAGTTCTGGTTAAAGCAAGTGAAGAGGAGAAAGACAAATGCTTTCCAAGACTTGAACATCTCCACTTCCTTTAAACTTCAAATAAAGTCATTTCATTTTCACCTGACCTCTGTCATCTGTTAATAGCATTTCCCAACGAATTGAAGAGTTATTTGTTTTTTTGAGAGGTCTATGTATAGCAACCTAGAATTTGTCATGTCTCCTCCTGAATTGAAGGAACAGAAAATCAGTCGAAATCAAATATCCAAAATTCAAGTACACTAAATAGTCCAATGCACACAAACATAAAGAGCAATAGTGAGTGAGTACACTACAAAATACAGGACACCTATGCCCACCCCCACAAAAAACTCTATGGACCCTATTTTAACGATCTGAAACGCAAATAACAAGCGCGAAGCGCAAGTAACTTTGTGGGCGGGTCTCGGGCGCTGTTGCTATTTTACCGGCGGGATAAATGACTCTTGCGCCCGACGCAAGTTTAAAAGGGGTTGGTCTGAAATAGCTTCATTATTCATTTAATTCTCTTTATCCTCTTGGGCCTTATCTCTGGTGCTACTGCACTTCAGAGACCGCCACTGCTAGCAGTGAGTTAACAAATCTATTTTTAAAGAAACAGTTCACCTGCTTGCGTGGTCTCTACTGGATGGTACGGACTTGCTCGCTTTTGGTCAACGAGTTGTGTCTGGAATTTGGGTCGGCTAATGCCTTGTTCACGCCTACATGATTTTAAAACGTCGGGCTGGACAGTGCGGGTCACACTACATGACTTGCTCTCAGTGAAATCAGGTTGTTGAGCTTTTCACACCACACAACACAACGTGATTGATCAACAACAGGAGGTAACGCACTACATCCACAATCACAATCGGATGATAAGAGCAACTCATTTGTGACTCAGAGCTGTTTCAGTACTATGGTAGGCTATGGTCTAAATCCTGAAAATAATCAAATAAATAACGAGTTGACAACAACACTGTCACCCAACGACTCTATCGTCAACAAACCATGTTTTGTCACGAAAAATCACGCAATAAAACTAACCAGAAATGACGCGAAACAGCACGTGCGCCTATACCCAGTGAAGAAGAAGAGAACACAACACACGAATGTGGACGTCAGACAGAAACTAGTGCTGCACACGAAAACATAAGATTTAACCGGTTACCTCAACCCATGCCTTGCTATGATTTGCTGTAGCTCATGACATCACTGAGGTTGAGTCGCGCAACGGCTCTGGATGTTAGATATTTTTCTGGGCTGAGCGTTTTCGCTGCGTTGTTGGCTCTTTCATACTAATTGGCAAGCGTTCATCGTCCGCTAATCCCCCGCAATTTGCACGCGATAACCCCCTGACCTGTCGGCGAGCTCAACGATTTGCAAATCGTGCTTAAATCGGGCTTAAAATCCTGTAGTGTGAACTTGGCTTAACTCTCTCTTAAAGTTGAGACCCCAGTCTGGATATGTGCTGAGAAAAACTGTAAACACAATTACGCACTACCAAGTCTTCCCCTTTTCTTATTTTCTTAAAAACACATAAAATAGCACTTAATTTTAACATGTATTCTCTCTTAATTCAACCATATGCAAAGCATGCTGGGAACTAACAAGCACCGCCCAGTTTCAATTAATGCAACACAAATCAATCATGTAAGCAAACACAAACGGATTACGTAAACTTAAATTGTATATATATTTAAGCAGATTGAACACAATCGAATTAAGTTTGGGTAAAATGGCAGTTGACTCGCACTGTGTGTCACCGTCTGGAATCTGGATGTAAGACATAATGTGGCTTAACATAAATGGTTTGTGTTTAGACAACACGTTAGGATTTTATACTGTTAAGTTGAGACATAATTACATACACCTTAATAGAAAAAAAAATATTTCAAGTCAAAAAAGTTAAAAACGCAATTATTATAAGTAAGCTAAATATAAATATATTATGTAAAGTGCACAACCTTCCTAGTTCATTTTTTTCAGTGCACTTCAGGTGTTTTTGTTTTGCAAGTGTGCATAAAACCATGGCGAGCTATGCATGAACGGGACGCACCGAGATGAAAGTGCAGACTGCCTGTCGTGTCATGCATATACATTCATGGGATGGTCAAGGGAAAAGTGGGACTGTCACATTAAGAGATGGGAGGGGATGCGTAAACTGCGCGTAATAATGTATTCCGTGTTATGTACAGAAAAAGCCGGACTCTATTTTGCGCTGAAAATTCTCCGGCTCTTATAAGCAGGTGTAACTTAGGAAGCAGGTTTCCTGGCATGTGCCTCCTGGTGAAATGACACATTCAGAGCAATTGGCTTTATGCGCAGTTGCACTACTTCCTGAACTTCAGCCAGCTCCTTTGTTTCCTGTCTTCCATTATTGGACAAACTGATTGATCCTGTTTTGACTACTGAGGTCAGGCACACCTGGATTAATCAGTTTGTCCAATAATGGCAGACAGGAAACAAAGGAGCTGGCTGAAGTTCAGGAAGTAGTGCAGCTGTGCATAAAGCCAATTGCTGCTACTGATCTTTGGTGCCATTGGCTCTTAGTGGCAGTTGGCACACCCTATCTCTGTTACAGTCATGTTTTTATTCAATTTGACCACTTCCTGCAAGCTGAATAAAGTGGAACACGAAAACAAAAGTTAAGACTAGGCTGGGGGTTTTTTTTTTCCATGATGAAGCTTTCAAACTCATGCGTCCTATTCCAAGTCTTGTGAAGTCATTAGCTTTAGGTCACACATTACCAAATTTCATTGTTCACTGAAAATAAACTAAAATGATCTGCTCTAGCTCTCCTTGAGAGTTCATGATATAGGCTAAATGATGACTGATTCATGAACAAATCATTCAAATGGGTTTGTGAACAGGACTTACAGTTTGTTGAAAAGAAAGAACAACAATTCATTCACGGTTTCAGGGTTTTTTTCTACACTGTCAAAAAATTGCTGCCTAAAAGCAATCAACTTGGATTTTTAAGTAATTTCAACAGAAATTACATGACTGACTTCTACATTAAACTGAATCTTGTATAACTTATAAATATTTTAATCATAATTTTTAAAATCATTTTTACTTATTTTAATGAGTTAGTAAAATGAGTATGAGTAATGAGTATCTTAAAATTAGTTAATGAGTTAAAGCAATGTAAAAACATGTTGTCATAACGTATTGATCATACAATTTTTACATTTTACCATGATTATATCAATTCTGTTTGTCGAGAAAAAATATTTTGAAATTTGTAGTGATTAGTACTAGATTGGGTTCATGTTTTTAAACTGACATGATGAACTAGAACTGAGGACTGCTGGGTAAAATGGAACTGGCAAGATTGCATGCTTGAGGTTTTCCTGCTTGAATGGTGATTTTGCCTGTGGTTGTTTAGAGGTTTTCATCAATTCTTCTTCTGTAATTAATCATCACTTCTTATGTAAATTCTGAGAAACCTTCTTGCCTTATCATGATGAGCGTGATGCTATAGAGAAGATGAAGAAGTAGTATGCAGCAAGATCCTTTGATTTTGAGACCTGTATTCAAATACTTTTAAGTCATCGTATAAGAATGTCCTGTAGACTTCATTTTGATTGCTTTATGGAGTGTATATATTGCTTTCTTTTTTTTCTAATTTTACAACTGGAACATATGGATTTTATACAAAATGAACTAAATGGACTACTATTTTAAATTCAGAGAAGACACCTGGAACGTACAGCATACACTGTGATTAGAGGTAAATGATTTGTTCCTCTTGCTATTTCAAATCAATTAACATACAAATTGTTGTATATTAAATGGCAGATTTGATTAATCAGTGATATGGAGAAGTATCATATTTAAAATTGTCTATTAATAAGATGATTTTACAGCAATTTAATGCTGAAACAAGCTTTTCAGAAAACAGCAACAAGTGTAAGACTGAAAAAAGAATAGTTTGAAATTCTTAAACCTTAGTTTATTTATTTCTTTACATAAATTGAAGGGATGTACAGTGCCTTATCTATTTAAAAATATATAGTAAAGTATATATAAAGCCGCATATCTCACATTATTGACAAGTTTTCAAGGAGTAAAGTTACTAAAGGTAAAATGCTCAAACTGGCCAAACTAAGCTAATTTTAAGTTCTATATTATTGTGATAAAATGAAAACACCGGATATGTCCTTTTTTAAAGCTTAACAAAAACATGATTATAATTGTTCTGTATCACATTTGTTACTTATGACTGGTACGTTAGTTTCGTTTAATTTCCATGCCACGTGTAATCCGTTCAGACACTGAGGGGACACAATAAAGCCCGATTAAACTTGTAACTTTTTCTATTCGTTTCTTTTTTTTTTTTTTTTTTTGCTTTTTTTATTTACCTTTTATAATTATTTTTCATTTCTTTTAAAACACTTTCGATACCATTTTGAATGAAATGGTATTACATATATACACGTTGCTTGCTTTGCCTAGTTTTGCTGTTGATGCTTTTATATGTTTGGGACAGTAGCTGATGAAACATATTAAATTATCCAATTATTTTGACAAGTATGTGAAGGTTTTAACTCATTGGTGATTTTCACGTATGTACGAATCCACAAAAGGTCACGACTTAGTCACGTGTAATGACCCGGAAGGATAATATTTATATGCAGTTGGTCAGTGATTACGATTATTGAAAAAGATAATCCACAAAAAACTGTTCATCATAATATTTCAGTACTTCACTGTTTTTATACAACATCTTTTATTAGACAGCTTGGCTCAGATTGTCAACATAATGGTAAGGCAAAACTAGCCTTGAGTGCTAAAACTGTGCTAACAAGTGCTTTAAAAAAATATAAAATTGGAGTTCATGTTGTTGTATATATTCTAGACTGTACAATTTGCTTTCCTTTTAAAATAATAATAATGTTTCTCATTACATAAGGGTCAAATTTGCAGCGAATTTGTTCGAGAACAACCTTCTGAGGAATACACTCTCTCGACGGAGGAGGATGTGACTGATGAATTATTGAGTCAATCTCAGGTATATAATTCATAATTCATATTGAATATATAATTCATATTGAGTTGAATTATCATATAATTATTTTAGGATTTTAGATAATCTCTACAAAT